GAACTACAGTACTCATGACCCTGCAGACAAATATCCATGAATCACAGAATCACAAAATGGTGCCAAAGGAGCTCCTGCCATAAAGCACTGTGAATGATGTAATGATTATGTGTCTTCCTACACTTGTAAACTACTTGTATATGTTTTTTTAAAGACTTCAAATTGCTTCATTTGTATACTCATCAATCAACAACTTAATTTTTTTTTGTCTGCAAGGCTTTGTAGGTTTGTAGTTGATTCCTTCATTAAAGACATTGTAGTTTGTTTCTTTTACCTTTGTCCTGCACTTTAAAAACACATTTGTCTTTTTGTGCATTTTTAAATAATTTTTTGTTTCAAATAAAAGTTTGTAATGTTGTGCTTCACCTTAGAGCTGGTTGGCTTTGGTTCATGGCTTAAAATTCTTTAACAAGGACTTTTTAATAATCCCTTTTTAATAATCCCTAAAATACTTATGGAACCAAGGCCACTGAAAAGAGGACATGCACTGTTGTACTCTACTGTAAAAATGATCAAATGGCAATGATTTGATAAAACAGTTTAGTCAGATATAAACTAATACAAAATAAGATCAGCAGGTGACAGAAGAGCATTTCATCCTATATGGTTTGTGGTGTGAAGCCGCGTGTCGTGTCCGGATCACTCTATTGTGTTTACTTTGTCATAATGACAAATCTAAGTGTACATCATCCCTCAAAATTTAAACAAACAAAAACTCATCATGTCCATATTAAAGCTCCAGCCATGTGGTGTTCTTTCTTCCGTACAAAAGTTGCACGTCACAAAATAGATTTACAAAATTCATTTGACAAATTTAACTCAAAAATTAAGTTCTGATTCATATTGCTTAATGAATATTTAAGTTAATTACATTAATTTAATCGTAGGCACTGAATTTAACAAAACAAGCACGGGTGGCTTTTCCACTCACCTCAGCTGTGAGATGTAGGGCAGACACTGGAGGAATCCCTTCACTTCACTCTCTTCATCTGTCCAGTCTATCAGCTCTACTGGTTTCTTCTCTGTTTGGAGTTTCAGCACTTCTAGGAGGATGGAGCTCTTTCTCTCCGAGAGCTTTATTCTCCAGACTGCAGGAACTGACTGATAAATTGACTTTAATGCTGGAAGGACACTCCTGCCTGTTTTAATTTGATAGTTCTTCATGTGAGAATACAGATCCAGCAGGAAATCAGAGTGTTTAATCTGACACTCCACATAACCATGCTCAAAGTTATCACAATTATTATTTGCACAGGGGAAAGATGTGTAGCTGCACACAGATATTAACAGCATAGTGAAACTCTCTCCTGTAGCTTCATCACACTCTGATGCCGCAACACTCAGATTCACCAGAAACTGAACAGCAGTCTTTTGCTTCTCATCATTAAACGAACACACATTAAATCTGTGGAGACAAATAAATACCATTTTACTTTAATGTACAATGCCAGTTAATTTAAATTATGTAATACCTGTCAGGGCTCAACAATAAGGACTGCCCAATAGCCCAGGGCAAGTATGAAAGACACTCATCAAAGCCACTGCTGCATCATCATGAAAGTTTAGCATTTGCATCATTTGCCAATTTAAACATGCAATTTTAAAGCATTCAAGTGTAAGAAGATTCGAATTTTGATATGTTTGCTATTTGCAATAGCCTTACTAAGCCTACTATTTTTCATAGTGTGATTTTTAGTGAATTGTATTAAAAAATAGGGTAAGTTTGATCCTCAAACATCACTGTAATTAGGCCTGTCAAATATGATATTAATATATGGAACCCACAACAATTAAAAAACAAACAAAAAAAAACCATACAAAAACATGTCCCTGTTTTTTAATTTGTGGATAATCACAAGTGAGATTTCAGTGATATTTTGACCACTGAACCAGGAAATGTCCCCGGTTTTCATTTTAGAAATCTGGGCTGCGTTCAGCCCCGACAAAAACGGTGCAAAACGTTTTTTAAACGGAAACGGTGGTGCGTTGAACACCCTGTTCTGATGACGCAAGAGTTGCAGCTATGGCGGCTGAGAAGGCCATTCTTTGTGCTCTTTTTGAAGAATTTTCGGAGCCTGATGAAATCGAAATACGCTCGATGTTACAGTCACTGCCCTTGCCGTCCAGAATAAAAGAGAACATCCCAATCGAGTGAAGGCCTCGCATTTCAGGATGAAAAGACAAACATTTCAGGTGAAGGATCATCCACTTCTTACCTCCAAGACTGTGTTATGATCTATATGACCTTATTATTTTTATTGTGAGTATTAGGCTTATCATTATTGCTGATCACTGTTGTTGTGCTATGATATTGTAATATTTACCATTATATAATCAGAGGGGTATAGAAAAGTTTATGAAAGTGTCACTCCATAATACAATAGCAAAATATATGTATAGTATTTTTATGTTACATTAATCAGTGTCTAGCACACCTTCCTAAGGAAAGCATATGAACCAAAAGACATTGCAATTACTAAATGATATTTAGACAGACTTAAAGAAGTTCCAGATCTATACTTGTGCCCTTATTATTTCAGTTATTTTGCCTTTAATGTAAATAAACATGTGCAAACAATATACTTGCTCTTGTGAATTTATTTGGATGTTAATTACATTGTGCGAGCTGTCTCTTTAATACCGCGTGGTTTACATACATGTTGCTGCTGATTGGGCTGACATGTTTGACACACCCACCAAACAAGAGAAAACGCATCTCAAACCCCGTTGCACACCGTTTCCAAGAAACATGTCGTTCAAACCGGAAACCGTAGCAAAACGGTGCACACCGGTTTGAGCTTGAACTTGCCCCAGGTCACCTTACCCAACAGCCAATCAGAGGCGTTTAAGTTAGAATCCACTCACCGCTTAAATCGCCGCAGTTTTTTGTTCAGGTGTTGTGTTCAGCACTAACCATCTCATTATAACAAAGTGTAGACCCGATGTAAATAAGAGATTCAGCGTAGAGAACTTCATTGATTATAAAGTAACTTTGTGAGATCGCGATGAACTAAGATGAGCGACAGCTTTTAGAGATTATAAAGGGAACCCTCTTGCGCCATAGCAATGGACGATACAAATATATTATATATATAGAGAGAGAGAGAGAGCCCTCACTAATTTAAGAAGCACCCTCAGTGATTTGATTCTGGTATAATTCACTGTACAAGTTTCGCTCTGTCTCACTCATAGACGCGCGCACGAGCCTTTCCTTTGCCGTGAGCACGAAAAGGGATGCTTTCGGCGTGTGCGCACTATCTAGTGGACTTTTGTTTTCAAGCGCTCAATCACTGTTGTATGCGCTGTTGTACGCGCATTGTCCTCGCCGTTACAGAAATTGGGCTGTAAGCGGACGGGGTGTGCGGATGTCCACGAATGCTCCTGATGACGAAAATTACGGAATGCAGACGATGCGTGGACTCGGACGGCTTAAGTACTGTATACTTTGGGCTTAAGCCCGTGATAGCGGCCCCCAATCTGCCCCGGCCCATATGCACGTGTCGTGCATACCCTGCATACCCAGACGCTACGCCCCTGATTGGATGTGAATCATCATATTGCATTTATGCATTGTGTCTTAAAGTGACCAAGCCTAATTTACTAGCAGCTGTCGGGTTCCTAATGTAACTTAAAAAAAAAAAAAAAGAGACTAAATATCTTTTGTAGCTTCAACAAGAATTTATCTATAATTAATATATAAAGTGAAGACTACGCAATATTATTTTACATTTGATTATTCAATGTCTGTACCTGAAAACCTACGAACCTGAAAAACACTGTTTCATTTGTATCATGGTTCTACTTATTTGTGCTATTGCTTGTAATTTTTTCTTTTTATTACTGACTGTTCACTTGTCTTTGATAATGTTTGAACTTTATAATTATTAGACTAATAGTTTTTGCTGAGGTATCAAAATTGGAATCACAAATTAGAAAACTGAACTGGTATCTAAAATTTGTATGTATGAGTGTGTGTGTGTGTGTGTGTAATGTATGTATATACAGTGGTGTGAAAAAGTGTTTTCCCCCTTCCTGATTTCTTATTTTTTTGCATGTTTGTCACAATTTAATGTTTCAGATCATCAAACAAATTTAAATATTAGTAAAAGATAACACTTCTGCATAGATGAGTGGACCAAAATTCCTCCACAGCGCTGTAACAGACTCATTGCAAGTTATCGCAAACGCTTGATTGCAGTTGTTGCTGCTAAGGGTGGCCCAACCATTTATTAGGTTTAGGGGGCAAACACTTTTTTCACACAGGGCCATGTAGTTTTGGGTTTTGTTTTCCCTTAATAATAAAAACCTTCATTTAAAAACTGCATGTTGTGTTTACTTGTGTTATCTTTGACTAATATTTAAATTTGTTTGATGATCTGAAACATTAAAGTGTGACAAACATGCAAAAAAATAAGAAATCAGGAAGGGGGCCAACACTTTTTCACACCACTGTATGTAGAAATTGTATTTGTTTCAAACCTGTGTGATTTTCTTTCTTTAGTAGAATACAAGAGGAGAAAGTAATGTTAATACTGTTCTTAAAATACAATGAATGTGAATGGCGAATTACTCAGTCAAGAAAATCACACAAATTTGAAATGACGTGGTAAGTGAAAGATGGCAGAAGTTTCATTTTGGATGAACTATTCTTTTAATTCTCTTTTAATCCTCTATCAATTTAGATTAAAAAAAAACATGTCTATGGGTTATTTCATGTTCATAATCTGTCAAAAAATATAATGTGAATTTATAAACTCGTCACAATGTCACAAATGACATTTTCACATCTACATTTTTTTTCCTATTTACCATGGACCCTAACCCTTAGTTTATGGGATACTCACCTCAGCTGTGAGATGTAGGGCAGACACTGCAGGAATCCCTTCACTTCACTCTCTTCATCTGTCCAGTCTCTCAGCTCTACTGGTTTCTTCTCTGTTTGGAGTTTCAGCACTTCTAGGAGGATGGAGCTCTTTCTCTCTGAGAGATCTATGCTCCAGACTGCAGGAGCTGACTGATAAACTGGGTGAAATGCTGGAAGGACACTCCTGCCTGTTCGAGTCTCATAGTCCTTCACATGTGAGTACAGATCCAGCAGAAAATCCCACTTCCCATAGTACATGTATGAGAATAATGCCTCCATAGATAGTTCTATCATTTCTTTTGGTAAAGTAGGCACTTCAAAAGACAGATTCAATGCCAGTAACCTTTTTTTAATTTCTGTCTCATTGGAAGACCCCTTCTGTTGATGAGGAAACCTGTAGAAAGAGAACAGTTACACACAGGCACTTGGGACCATTTTTCCTGCAGGTGTGACTATTTTTTAGCTTGAATGGGCAACATGAAAAGTAAAACACTCAAAACAGCACTATCTGACTATAAACATGCAGCGGAGACCTATCATTTGAATGGTCCAATAGACCTCCATCTCTAAGCACAGTAAAGCCAAACCCATTTGAATGTAGGAAAAAATATCAATGAGAAAGTCCCATCTCTACACCAAACAATATTCTGATTTTGTTATAGTTAATATAATGTATTAAGAAAGACATTGAATACAATTTTTGTATTATTGCAGTTGTATTTATAGTTAATGTCTGTAGGCAATAATATTTGAGAAAAAAAAAAAAAAACATTTTTGTTTTACAGAAACTATAATTACATCCAACCACAGTAATGAGTGGCCATGCATGATTAAAATGGGTCCAATTATTAAATTGGTTTCTGGGCTGTACTAGAATAGGTCTTCATGCTTGATTGTTCCAAAAACTCATTATGTGTCACTCACATGTTTTACATTATTGCAACACCTCTCAACCCAGCTGGTCTCAAACGCCCTCTTTAGCTCCTGTGTCAATGAAGCCCCTCTTTCCAAAATATAAAATGTATAAAATAAATATTAACCACTGTTTGTCATATTAACCACTAAGTTTGTCCACCTTAGGAAGGCCAAACAAAGGGGTTTTGGAACTGGGGTGGAAAAAACAATCTCTTCGATATGGCGACAATATGCTACTAACATAGGGCTGCAACAAACAATTATTTTGATAATTGATTAATCTAACGATTATTAGAATGATTAATGGACTAATCATCAATTATTTCACTGATTAATCAGTAGGCTTTGATCGATTATTCAGCTTTTGCAATTCGTTAACTTTTGAGTTATACAGTAAATATTCTATACATATTCATATACACAGCACTGCTTTGCTTTATAGCAGAAGTTGTCATTCTAACTAAAAGCAACACTGACACTGTTTTTTTCATGTTTAACGCCTGTGTCACACTGCAAGCGTGAGCTTCATGGCAGCTTCACGTCAGCGTAACTGCAGCTGCAGACTCGCCAGAGTATTCACACTGGAAGCGTTTGTACTATGGAGGACCGAGAGTGCCACTTAAAAATAAAATGAAGAATCAATTTATTGATTTAATAATTCAAACATAAAAATGTATATAAATAAATCACTTTTTAAATAGACATATTTAAAGATGTTTATTTAATTTGTGTTTTTAATTATAGTAAAAAAAAACAATCAATTAAAAAAAATTTTTTTTAAATCTATAAATAAATAGACACATTTAAAACTGTTCATTGAAGTCATGTTTTAAAACGTGGATTAATAAAACAATAAAAAAGTACATTAATAAATCTTTTTAAATGCACATTTTAAATCGCTTTTTAAAAATGCATTTGGCAATTGCTTTTCTCTCTATTTGCCAAATGCTTTTCTTTATCCATTTGTCAATCGAGTTAAAAAATGCCATTGGACAGTACACACGTGGGAGCAACCAATCAACTTTCGCATCGATTTGAAGAACCAACCCCTCTCTCGCTTGTAAATGTAACACGCACTGTCATTGGACAGTGAGAAGAGCTTTACGTCATTATAGCAGGAGTATAAAGACGGATTCAAGCGACACAAAATGTCAGGGAAATCTGAACGTGTTTGGAGAGGGATTGTGGATGATTTGTTAGCTTTAGCTGATTTCTGCGAAAGAAATTCTCCTCTCGGTTATCAGGGGCTGGCGCAAAATGCGGCATCGGCATTTCGCAGCGGCACTTCCGGCTGCATCTCCAGCAGCACGAATTTTCTTCGCTGGCCAATTACATAATTTGATATTATACTTTTTTATTTTAAAAACTACATTTCAACCACAGGACTGTCATTGTCCATTATGTACCCCAGGAATCTCAGTTGTCTGCATTTATCATGAAGTTTGTTAATAAAGTCAGTTTATGTTTGATATTCGCTGCATAATCGTCTAGGCTGCTTTAGGGACCGTCTGCAAATTTACCTCACAGTACAAAACGAAGTTCAATAATTAATTCAAATTAATGTTTGCACTGCATGGCTACAGTAAAAACAATAGTAATAGAAGCTTTACAGTTTGCCAATGTGTTATATTTAAATGTTAAAAGTCACTTTATTTAAAACACATCGGACGTTTCAACCCATTTGGTGGAATTGTTATGTGGTCCCTTACCCGTCAAGCGCTTTGATAGCGCTTCAAAGCTTTCTCCGGTTTAAATTTACTGCTACAATACACGAAGGTTTTTTGAAAAAAAAATTTTTTCATGTCGATATAAAGCGGTTGCATACTGTTAAAACTGACTGTGGTAGTTATATCTTTAGGACTGTCGACTGTATAGAACAGTGTCAAGCGAAAGCGAATGTCCGGCGACCTAAAACCTAACTAACTTTATACCGCACTAGTTCACCACTACATAAGAGAAAGCTGAAACTTGCGTATGTGTATGTGTACCCGAACCGGTTTCGGAACGGTAATAATAAAGAGGAACGCAGGAACAGAAACGTTAAAATATCGATTCTGCTCGGAGTGAACCGATTGAATTTTGTTTTCGTTTTCAAGCCCTGCTCCTGTGTGACTTTATGACTGAAAAAAAAAAATAGATAAAAATCAACATCTGTCAAGGACTCCCATCATTAGAATGTCAACTTGAAAGTTTCCATATAAAAGCCCTATATAAATTCGATTTGAATTATCTTTTGCAGATGTTATTGTTAATATCAGTAACTACTCTATTAGTGTCAATCATGCATTTCTATGGGACAAATTGTGCAATAATAATGATACTTGCACTTTTTGAAGCAATACAATAAAAATATTACTTTTATTAGTTTTTGGTCCATTAATTTTCCCTTTAACAGCCCTCAACACCCTCACCAGACCTGATATATTAGGTGAATATATTGTAAATAAATTACAAATAGCACCAACATGAAGACAGGAAACTTTCTGTAAAACCTGCTGTTCACTAAAAAACAAAAAACACATATGATGAACGGATAAACAAAACATCTTTCACCTCAGCTGTGAGATGTAGGGCAGACACTGGAAGAAACCCCTCAGCGTACTCTCTTCATCTGTGCAGTCTATCAGATCTACTGGTTTCTTCTCTGTTTGGAGTTTCAGCACTTCTAGGAGGATGGAGCTCTTTCTCTCTGAGAGCTTTATTCTCCAGACTGCAGGAGCTGACTGATAAATTGGCTGTAATGTTGGAAGGACACTCCTGCCTGTTTGACTCTCATAGTCCTTCACATGTGACCACAGATCCAGCAAGAAATCACACTGATGGTTAGGGACGTTTTCACTGAAGGGGAAAGATGTGTAGCTGCACACAGATGTGAACAGTTCAGTGTAATTTTGTCCAGTAGTTTCAAACTTTGATGCTGCAACAGTCAGATTCACCAGGAACTGGAAAGAGCTTTGCTTCTTATAGTAAACAAAACGATCAAACCTGTGAAGACACAAAAACAATAAAAAAATATGATGGATACTTCATCATTATAAACTTGATATTAAAAAAGGATAAATACATTCATTGTAAAATGCAGCAGTGGTAAGAATGGAGTGTGGGGGCAACATTTTAGGTTCTTCTCATAGTTCTAACCACAGCACTACTGGGATCTACACAACTGCAACTGATTTCAGTTCAGTCAGTTGCTGTGCTGGTGTGAAATTAAATTCTACTACACTACTAAATCAAACACTAGGTGGTATTTTTCCAATGAGACTCTCACCTCAGCTGTGAGATGTAGGGCAGACACTGGAGGAATCCCTTCACTTCACTCTCTTCATCTGTCCAGTCTATCAGCTCTACTGGTTTCTTCTCTGTTTGGAGTTTCAGCACTTCTAGGAGGATGGAGCTCTTTCTCTTTGAGAGGTTAATGTTCCAAACTGCAAGATACAACAGAATCAAATGAATGAAATAAGAAAAAATGGGTTAAATCAACATGTACAGTACATATATCTCACCATCCACTGGTACTGGTGTTTCCTCACTGGGTTTGCTGGTGATGTCCTCATAGACAGCAGAGACTCTGACTCTATAGCAGGTGCTGTGAAGTACCGTTAAAGTACATTCACACTCAAGTCCTTCTGTTTGTACTGATGACCAGCCCTCCAGTCCTGCTTCTTTATACTCAACATTATACCACAGCACTGGAAAATCTTGATCAGTTTCAGCCCTCAACCAGGTGACTCTGAGAGTGTCTCGGTCTAGCTTATTCACTAAGAGTTTCCCAGGTGTTGCTGTAACCACTGTCTGAAAGTTCATAATCCTACTCAAATTCATACAGTCCTGCTCAACAAATATATACCTCAGCTGAAATTTATGGCCAGACTTTAGATCTGATATCATACAGGTTTCTCTGATACTTGGGCCATCAAAAATGATCTGTTTCCAAGGCTCGTTGTTGCTTCCATCATCACCCAAAGCCCTGTACTCCACTATATATCTCTCAATCCTCTTGGTGTCTGATTGATTCAGTTTCAGGGACACACTGATGTGTTTTATGTGAGATATTTGGACAAGATCTGATTTTGTTCCAAGATTCACGTTCCTGCTCACAATCCTTCCATCACGATAAAACTGCACAGAGTATTCTGGAAAATCATCACTAGGTACCAACGCAGCAATGAACTTGGTTTGCTCTGCATCTTCATTTGCAGCAATAAACAGTTGTGCTTTAATAATCTTCTTATCATCGATGCTTACAGGCTTAAACAGGAGTGAATCATTTTGTATACTGCCATCAGATTCAATGTACTGCCTCAGAGCAGTGATGAAGGAATCTTCTACATCTGGTGAGTAAAGAGTGAGACACATCACTCTGGTTTTCTGAGAATGACTTATGATCTGTTGTAACTCTGCCTGTGATTTCACAACAGTGATGTCTGCAGCTCTGAAGTCATTCAGAATCTTCAGTTCAGTTTCTTTATTCTCCAGCCACTGGTTTGTTTTCTCTGCACTAAATGGAGATTGGCTGTGCCTCTTTAGGAGATCCTGTAAACTTCTCTCTCTTTTCCCTTCTTTAATGTGAACAATGTCTGCAATTTCTTTCTGAAATGTTGTCTGGTATTCCTGCATAAGCTCTAAAAACTCTACAAGTTTATCTTCCAAAGTCAGAAACTGCATAATCACATTTACATTGATGTAGTCTTTTATAATGTCTTGACAGATCCTGATCTGTTTTCTCAGATGTTCTAGAATGCTCTCAGCTCTTTGCATCACATTTTCACTGACTCCACTCAGCGCAGCATGCACAGAGCTCTTATTCAGTTTCTTCAGAGGGTAAAGCCAGACCTTCAGAGGAACTGCTCTCTCATCTTTAGATCCAAGCAGTGTTGGCAGAGAACCATAGATCTCCACTGCCTTATCAAAAGACACTGGACTCTTCCAATCACCCACATCAATGTAGAGACTACAAGCAAGTAATGAGCTTTTAGCTTTTTCAGAAGCATTCAAGCTTGAAATTATATGGTTTGGACAAAAGGTAGAAGTCATTATTTTTAAAACATCAACAATTTCTGCATTTTTCTCATGGTTTGAGCTGTCACTTTCAAAAACCATAAACGCTTGAGCTCCAAAGTACACAGCGCTGACCACATGTGTTGCTGTGGTTTGACCAACTAATGCAGAGGGCGCTACTTCCTGTAACAGTCTTTGGCTGATCATGTCCAGTCTGGTGGTGGTTCTGTAGTGTAGTGTAGCTCTTTCCTGATGTTGTTCTGGGTGGATTAGAAAAGCTGCAGCCCCAGTCATTTTTATTTGTCCAGTCTGGGTGCCACTTTGTAATACTGGGGACATTTCAAGGACTCTGAATCTTTCCTGAGGGGAGTCATTTTCCAGCACTTTCACATATGTTTGTGGTCGAGGCAAAGATACTTTCATACGGGCTAATGTATCTTCATCCCACATAAAGATATCTGCAAACACATACAAATGATTTCAACAAATATTTGCTTTATTTATTTTTTTAATTTGTAGAATTTATGTACAAGTAATGTACATGTCATTAATTGCACTAATTTTTACATTTACAGTCCTTTTTTGAAAACATTTCTGTAAACTCTTAAAATACCACAATATAAATGACATGAGAGATGGAAAAATTTTTTTTTAATCATAACTTTTTGCTTTCTGCCACAATTGCTTCTGCGTATTTACTTAAAATTTTACCTCTCCAACCTCACCTTGGCAAAATGAATTTCTTTGACTGTCATACAACATTCCAAGACTCAAAGGGCGACTTAGAGCAGCCATTTCAATCACATCTGAGAGAAAATCTGAAATTGATAAAAAGACAAAAAAAAATTTTAATAAACACATTAAACAGCTGCATTTACAGCTTTTATAGAGTAATGTATCTTCATCCCACAGAAAATATTTGCAAAGACATTCATCATTCATCAAATATTTTATTATTTTTTCAAGATCCTTTTTTTTTTTTTTTTTTATTAATCTGTTTTATCATTTGACTTGGGCTGTAAAATGATAAAATGGACTAATAACTGATATTCTGATCTGTAATTAACAAACAACTAAAAAAGTGAAGTGTTTCTGTGAGCGAAATAGTGCATTTAAATCAAACAAGATGCTGTTTTTACCCACCGTTACAGTGAATTTCAAATCTTTTACGCAAACGTTTTGAGGTCTGAGGAAAAAAAATACATCAAATTAAAATCTTTTGAACAATACTTAGAGTATCATTTACTCCAACAGGTGAGTTGTATAAAAAGCATCTGATGTTTACCGCTTCCAGTTCAATCACTCTTGCAGTCAATTCTCTGATTTCATCTTGTGATTTACTCTCTTCTTTGTGTGGTACATTAATAGCCTGAGCACAAAAAAGCATTAGTAGTCTAAGCCAAGGGTTGTAATTTTTTAACATTAATTAATTGTTCTGTGAACTTAACAGATGAGCAGTTAACAGATTTACAAAGACAGATGTACAGACACTTCAGTGGTGCCCATTCAGCGGCCTGTGCATGTTCATTAATCAAGTAATTAAAAGAGTAAACAATTATCATTGCTGTGTTTCAGTGACAGACAGATAATCACCTCCACCAGGTGGTGTCTCAGCAGTGCTGGTACTGTGTAATGTTGTCTGACGTGTGTCTCACAGTAAGATGCAGTGCAGGTCAAACAGGATTTAACAGCTTTGAGCTTCATCTCAGTGCAGATATCACAGGGCACATCTTCAGGTCCAGCGTAGCAGTGAGCAGGAAGAGCAGGACTAAACCCTGCCTTCTGGAGTTCCTCAATCAGTTTAGACAAAGCCACATTTACATTCAACACAGGACGATCTCTGAACCTCTTTCTGCACTGAGGACAAGCGTAAGCTCCAGCTTGAGTTGGTTTGCTCCAGTAGATCTCAATGCAGTGTTTGCAGTAACTGTGTCCACAGGGCATGGAAACTGGATCCTTGAAGACCTCCGTGCACACTGGACACTTGTAGTGATCCTCTGTCAGCAGAGTGGCTGAAAGTGTGCTGTGATATAATCACAATTGGATTGGTGTGGAAATTGTTTAACTTAATTGATATCAATATAATTGTAATATGAAATGTTAACTAAATAAATAAAATAAAATAAAGGTTCCACATCTGGAGTACCTGATATCTGGAGATAGGGTATCCTTTCGGAATGAAATGTGTCTATCAAATGGTTCCTCTGCGCTCTTCTTGTGAATACTGTGTAGATATTTACAATTTTTAAATTAGCACTTAATTTTTTTTATTGTAAATAGCATATTTCAGAGAATTATTTTCTTCTTCTTCCTTATTATTCTGTCGTAAAAAATATTGTAGGTGTCAAGAGACCATAGAGACCCCAAACTCAGTCCCAAACGCGCACCGCTACTCAGGCACACAGACACACATCTCTCTGACACCAGGTGGTGCTATAATAAGGGATAACAACTTTGGAACTATAAGTGCTAGAATAAAATACCTTTTTCCAATGAATCCTTAATTCACACTCTACAAAATTGAATTTTCTGACATTTTTAAATGTAAAAAAAAAAAAAACACTAAACTTTTTTTGTACTTCTCCTAGGCTGTTCATTCTATAATTCTGCAACCATATGATGCATTAAAGTAAAATTTTGTATGAGTCTTCTTTGGTAGACATACTAACATATCCTCAAACATGACTCAGCTACATACAACATTACCTCTTTGAAAACCTCCTAGGCTGTTTGTCAGCTCTTTACCAAACCTTGCAAATGTCGGCCCTAGACTATGCTTTTGAAGTTATCAAAAAAAATTTATCTATTAAACCATTTAGAAGGCATGATTTTTTTCATGATGTCTGGTACGGTCTATTATGACTAACATGTCTGTATGTATCAGATGGCTAACAGTAAATTCAGTGTCCCCTTAAAATCGTTTAAGTCTAATCTTTTTTAATCAGTTTCCATCGATTTTTTTTTCCAAAGAAATCTGTGAAATGCTTATAAATCATTAAATGTTATAACATTTATATATCCCAATAACAATTTGCCAAGTTGCCAAACAAGATTAAATATATTGCTGTCCATTTAAAATGGAGAGACAATTTTACTTGCATCTTTGAAGATAATATATTAAAGACATAATTATTTAGCATTGTGTTATAAATAACACTTTCTTATAAGTACCTTTTCTTATATAACCTGCACACACCCTAGAATTATTCGATTTATTTACTTTTCCTAACATGTTGTCTTCAGTAATATTAGTCAGGTGATATGTGAAAATAATGTTCACTTTTTCATAAAAGCATGAAACTTTGTACACTTGTATAGTTTGTGCCCCTAAACATTTTCTGAAATGGAGCAATCGCAAAAACACATTCGTGGTTGCCATGACGACCATTTTACTTTCCGCCATAACCAAATTATGTATTTTGTGTCATATCTCCTGAACCAAACACAGAAAAGGTCATGTCGGTAACACTTTACAATAAGGGTACATGAATAATCATATGTACTAATGTCTAAATTAATACTTAATTCATCAAATACTAATGATTATTAAAATCCCCCTGTAGTCAAAAATTGTATCCTTTAAAACTCATCTTTGATCATCAAAATGATATATTTAAATGTTTTTTCTTGTGAAAATAATTTTCTCATGCCTTAAAATAGCTTGAATGCAACTCTACACCCTTGCCTCATTTACTATATGCGGATCTATGAATATGCAAATTAGCCCCGCCTCAAACACTAAACTTTTTTTGTACTTCTCCTAGGCTGTTCATTCTATAATTCTGCAACCATATGATGCATTAAAGTAAAATTTTGTATGAGTCTTCTTTGGTAGACATACTAACATATCCTCAAACATGACTCAGCTACATACAACATTACCTCTTTGAAAACCTCCTAGGCTGTTTGTCAGCTCTTTACCAAACCTTGCAAATGTCGGCCCTAGACTATGCTTTTGAAGTTATCAAAAAAAATTTATCTATTAAACCATTTAGAAGGCATGATTTTTTTCATGATGTCTGGTACGGTCTATTATGACTAACATGTCTGTATGTATCAGATGGCTAACAGTAAATTCAGTGTCCCCTTAAAATCGTTTAAGTCTAATCTTTTTTAATCAGTTTCCATCGATTTTTTTTTCCAAAGAAATCTGTGAAATGCTTATAAATCATTAAATGTTATAACATTTATATATCCCAATAACAATTTGCCAAGTTGCCAAACAAGATTAAATATATTGCTGTCCATTTAAAATGGAGAGACAATTTTACTTGCATCTTTGAAGATAATATATTTGTACACTTGTATAGTTTGTGCCCCTAAACATTTTCTGAAATGGAGCAATCGCAAAAACACATTCGTGGTTGCCATGACGACCATTTTACTTTCCGCCATAACCAAATTATGTATTTTGTGTAATATTTAAAAGATTGTTTTCAAAAATACTATCATATATTTCAGAGATATTTTTAAAAAATCATCTCAGGTAAGTGTATTTTTCCTTATCTCTCAGGCAGAGTCGGGTAGGCGGTAGTGTGTTTCCAATATATTATTGTTCTCTCTCAACAATGCTCTAACATCACACGCAGATGGCCACACAATCAGGTGAACATTTAATGGTTAATTCAGTGACTTTATGAGAAGGATTACAATGAAATCTCAAAAGATGCAGAATGAAATTTCAAACATATTTCATGTAAACTTAATTTACAATCACTCTCTGGGGCCAGAGTTGTCTATCATGTTGTCCACAAGGGGGAAGCCAGAGTCCTGCATGCGGGCGGGTACACGCAGGTGAATCACTAATATTTGATGTAACGAGTGGAATAATATTTATGTGTAGGGTGTGGTGCGGGTGCGGGTGCGGGCCGGACGGTGACAAGCACGGGCAGGTTGCGGGTCCAATAACCAAGACTATTTCGACTCGGTCCAGTACACGCTGAGCAATGTAGCCAATCGCGCTGCCACTGATTGACAGGCAACGCAATCAGGTGAACAGTTAATGGTTAATTCAGTGACTTTATGAGAAGGATTACAATGAAATCTCAAAAGATGCAGAATGAAATTTCAAACATATTTCATGTAAACTTAATTTACAATCACTCTCTGGGGCCAGAGTTGTCTATCATGTTGTCCACAAGGGGGAAGCCAGAGTCCTGCATGCGGGCGGGTACACGCAGGTGAATCACTAATATTTGATGTAACGAGTGGAATAATATTTATGTGTAGGGTGTGGTGCGGGTGCAGGCCGGATGCTGACAAGCACGGGCGGGTTGCGAGTCCAATAACCAAGACTATTTCGGGCTCAAATGTGTCGGGTATGGGATTAAATTAGTGTTGCTGTCAGATTACGTGTCGGGTGTTCTGTTAATTACTGCGATTGTGGGAAGATCCTTTCACCAGCCAGGAAAGGTGAACGAAAATGCCTCTCTGTGATGTTACCACGAGGCATCGCTTACTTACAGATCTCAGGCTTCTGGAGGGGATGTAGATTCGTAAGAGTGATGAGGAAGTAGGAGTGTGCGGAGCCTGAAGGGGTTCTGTACGCAAACATCAATGTCTTGAACTTGAGTTACTGAGTTATATGCAGTTATTCTGAACTTAAGCAGAATAATTTTAAGTCATAAAATGCACAGGATATATTAAAATTCATCGCAAGTTTCTGCAGGCACGTAAAATTATAATAAGTGGGGCAGTCGTGCCTGTGCTATCCTGAACTCAACAGCGCCCCACACATTTTACAATGTAAATCTGTGGTAAAAAGTGGAAGTGCAGCACGCTCTAATTGGGAGCCATTTGGGCAGTTTTGAGACTGCCCCGTTTATTTTCACGTTACCTTATCTCGCTCCAGACCAGGACGTTTTCAGTCAGATTCAGCTATATGTGTCTGCATCAGGTCAGTAACTAGCTAGTATGTTTTTCCTATGTGGTGTAACGTTAGAGTTTTAAATTAATGAAAGTGTTAATCCTTTGTTTAAATGTGCTCACGTCACGTGAAAAGCCTATATATTGTTTTGTTGTGTTTGTTTTGTTTGTTTTGAGATGAGACATGATATTCATTTCCTCGCTTAAATTCCTCAACAATTTGTAACATTCTTAATCAACATTCGGAGACAATATTAAGGCAATAATTCAATAGCATTCTATGTGTGTACTTCGAGCCTGTCAATCAACATTAGCGTGCCGCCCACAGGCTGAATAATGCAAGGACATTAGATCTCTGCCAAAACTATATACTTTTTTTGAGTTTATTATAAACTAGCGCTACTACCCAGAATCTGCCCCACCTAAATTTACAGTCAGGAGCCGCTACTGGCTTTCTGAGTACCTAAAAAAGTGCTATATAAATGTAACAAATTAATAATTAATTAATTAAAACAAACTTTTATTGTACTATTGAATAAAATAGTAAAAAAGAAAAAAAAAGAAAGAAAAAATTAATAGCCATAATATGGACTATTGTAAATACTGTGATGCTCAGATACTGTCATTTCCTTCTCACTCTTCACCTGAACAGTTTATGTTGCTGTATATGGTATTATTGTATTCTTTGACCATCAAAACATAGGGGTAGACATCACCTTTTCTTTGTTATCACGTTTGGTTCAGGAGATATAACACAAAATACATAATTTGGTTATGGCGGAAAGTAAAATAGCAACCACGAGGTGTTTTTGCGATGGCTCCATTTCTAAAAATGTTCAGGGCCCTAACCTGTACAATTGTACCAAGTTTCATACTTTTATGAAAAAGTGAACATATCACCTCAAATTTTGTACATGTCACCTGGACTATATGACAATTTGTTCTGTGTAGTATTTTTGCATCACATTATTACTGCATTATAATTTGTACAAATATACTTTGATTAAAATACTTTTTGCAGACTAAAATAACACGCATGCATAGCAAACCAATCAACATCTGCTTGTTGACCTGTTGACCTGTCATGACATGCAAATTAAAATTTGCAATGTGAGTCCACATACACCACAAGTCTTCGGTTCACAAAAAAATTACAGATATTTCTAACTTTTAGTTAAAAAAGAGGGAGTGATTTATTTTGGAAGTCAGTTGTCCCTTTTGAAACCAGTGTTGCTGAAATCCGTTATCATGATGTAGAACAGGATAGATTGAGCAAAAGGTGTGATTAGAGGTCTTCTCGGGTCCTAAAATCTGTACCCGACCCGAATCGACCCGAACCACTTCTTACCCGAGCCCGAC